TTTTTTTTATAATGGATAGAACTTATCTCAAGGCGCGCATGTTTCACTTTTCCCATCTTCTTTAGGTCAGTGGACTGTCCAGCATGATCAGCGAAACCCTTAGTGCTATGAGAACAATTCCGTCTCTCGCCAATATCTGCATCGTCGCGCTCATCGGTGGCATCTTAACGCAGGTTATCACCAATGCCGCCACATTGACCATTCTGGCACCCATCGTTTTCGACTTGGTAAGTTCTAGCTTAGTGCCACAATCTTGAGCACCTTCTGTTCAAACTATTACCAGGCAAATCTGTGCACTCCTCGTTGGTTTCAAATAGTCCCGAGTTGTTTATTCGATGGCAAAAAACAACATATGCATAGACACCTACAGTGTGTGAACTAGTTGATAAAAATGCCAAAATTTGCGAAAGGCTGACAAGCACTCACTAATTGGTGTTAATTAATGTACGAAATTTAAAAGCATTTTTCCTCAGGTACAAATCTAAAGCCAGCAAAAACATCAGGATGTATTTGTACAAATAAATTTCGGGAGAGCTTGTCAGCAGCATTTTGAATTTTCACAGAATCAATAACAGCAACGTCATTTCTCAATGCGGCGAATAGTCAATAATAATGTCCCAATTACACCTGGGAAGGAAAAGGAGGGACGGCGATTAACAAAAATAAAAATGTTGATTACATGTTGGCATGCGATTAAAAGGGCATTTGGATATTATCCGCATGGTCTAACTGCTTACATATGCCGGGTTTCTTCCGCCGTATATAGGCTGCTTCCACGTAGCGGAAGGTCCGATTTGTTTGCGCTCGAACAAGAACTCGGAAAGATGTGTTGAGGTCAACAAGGTGACCACTGTCTACCAGGCGTTTTGTAACGGAGGACAGTGGCACTTTGTTTTCTTGTTTAAAAAGCCACTTCGTTCTTTTGCGCTGCTACCCACCTTCGATTGCGGCCTCCGAACAACAACTCCTAAAGGTCACTCACTGTACCTTGACTCAACTACACAGTGGCTACTCAATGGTCCTACGTCAGTATCAACGCGGGCTCGACCCTTCCATATCCGACAACTGTCCCGACTACGGCGTTTCTCCGCATGACTGTCAGCATCTATTTGCCTGCAGTTCCCGGTCTGGTACCCAGCTCACCCCCGCGGACCTTCAGCTCAAGCCGGTCGAGGTCTCGGCTATACTTTGTTCTCCAACTACAACCAGTTTGGACTTCGGTGGGGACTCCAGATCCAACAGGGCCTACGACACGCACACTATAAACAATTTGATGCGCTCGAAGCTGGCGCGGCATGTCTAAAGGAGAGATCGTCGACTACAGAAGGTTCCCCAAGTCAAGAAGTCAGTAAGGCCAAAAAGGTATGACTATATACTGTGAAGAAGAGTTAAGAAAAGGCTCTGCAGAAACAAGCTGCGCACATTGAATAAGCCAGTTGACGTGTGTCGTGTCTGTGTGACCGCGCAGAGGTTACGGGATCTGAGAGCGCCCACCAGCCAATCAACAGAAGGTGCATAGCTCGCGAGAGCAAAGGCAAAACATAAAAACGACTATGACACATCACGCAACGGCCACGCCTGTATTGTTTGCGGGCAAGGCCTGATGCGTCACGCTGGACGCTCCAAAGAATTGGCCAAGAGCGCGGGCAGTGGAGAGTCACGTGTGGGCCTGCGATATAAGTGTCAGCGCAAGGCTAACCGGAGGACCGCTACAGTACCCCCCGGCTAGACCGACGGCGGCATAAAGAAACGACACCAAAGGAAATATAAAAGTCTAAAAATTATGAGAAACAAGTCGGTCAGGAAAGTGAACGTGGCGTCCACTACGGGTAATGTATGTTGGAGGCACAGGGCAAGAGTGGCTTGTGACAGGAATGTTGGAGGTTAATGAGAAAGGAGAAATTGGCGATGGATCTGGAGATTGTGGAAGAGGGAGCAAACGGGACGGAGGAATAAAGGGTCAGGGAGTAGAAAAAATGGAACCAGAGGGCTCGTCCGGTGAAATGTCCGGTATAGCGGCTTTGATGCGGTCCACGCTCAAGATCTCCTCAGGTGTTCCGCGAAGGATGCGGAAGGTCTTCTAACCGCAAGAGGAAACCCGGAACGGGCCATCATAGGGAGGTTCCAGCGGCCGGCGATCCCTATCACATCATAAAAAGACATGTGAACAGGTCGCAAAGCATTTTTCGAGATAAGACTTGGAGATGTTGGGCCTGGGCAGAACCGGTGAAAGCGTCCGTGTAAACTGCCGGTGATTGTGCAAAATTTTGATAGGATCCTCGACTGCATTTGGAGGGTTTGATGAGATCAGCTTACCGGGAAGTCGGACAGGGGCACCAAATGCCAGTTCAGCGGCGGAACAGTCAAGGTCCGGCTGGAAGGTGGAACTGATACCCATCAAGATCAAGGAAAGATGGTCCGTCCAGTTCGCCAGATCGACCGCGGAGCGTAGGTGGACTTCAACTGGCGGTGAAACTGCTCGACCATCACATTGGCAGTCGGGTGATAGGCTGTAGTGCGGATGCGAGTACAACCTAAAAAGGAGAATAAAGACTGGAAGAGGCTAGACTCGAAATGAGCACCATGGTCAGTCGTGATTGTGGAGGGAACGCCAAAGATGGCAAACCTGGCAAAGATGGCAAACGCCTTGACGACCGTAGAAGTCTCGAGAGAGGGATAGTCTCCGGCCATCGGATGAATCGATCCACACAAATGAGGAGATGGAGAAAGCCATTGGATAGAGGCAAGGGGCCTACGATATCCAGATGAGCGTGAATGAACCTGGCACCAGGACTAGGGAAGGCGCCAATAGGTGCCTTGTTGTGCCGGTAGACCTTACTCCGTTGACAAGCGAGGCAAGCCCGATTCCAATTTTTCCGGCCCTTGTGCATCCCAGGCCAGAAAAAGTGGCAGGAAATCAGCTTGTCGGTGGCTCGACTCCCAGGGTGAGAAAGGTTGCGCAGGGAGGAAAAGACATTGCGTCGGAGAGACGGCGGCACAAAGGAGCGATGAATGGTAATAGAAACGTCACAAAGAATGGAGCCGTTGCCAGTAGTCAGCGGCAACTCCTGGAGTTGGAGTCCGGAAACATCCTGGTCACAGGGTGAAGCAACACGACGTTGTTCGGCAGCCACTTCAGCGAGGTCGATCCCAGGAGTTAATTGCACATGAGCAAGAGAGGGCCTGGACAATTCTTCAGCCACCTCATTGCGTGACCCTCGAGCGAGTGCCGGAAATGTTTCACAGCGAGGTATACAGCAAGGAGCTCCCATCGAAATGGGCTGCAGCGCCATTCGGCAGGTTTTAACCTCCTAGAGAAGAAAGCTAAAGGTTGGGGCTAATCTACAAGATGCTGTTGGAGAACCGCGCCGACTGCAACACAGTCTGGGTGCGTCAAGAAGACGGCATCGGCTAGGGCAACCTTAACCTTAAGCAGCGAGGACGTCGGAAGATAGCTCGAACGATCTATAAACAATCTGATGCGCTCGAAGCTAGCGTGGCACACTAAAAGCCGTGGCTTGGATGGTTGCCAACTACCCGGATAAATTGGACCGCACTGTCAGTTCAGTGTGTGTTCTGTTGTGTGGAATGTCTGACTTGCGGACTGAGACGGAAGCCCACCTAGCAAGAAGTTACTGTGGCACACATTGCATTTTTGGTCACGCCAGCCGCCTGCGCTTGCGCCTTCACCCATTTTCGGTCTTCTCGATTTCCGCCTTGACACCAGGTACAGTTTTGAGTGTGGTGAGAGAGTGCAGTAAATCCTGTGCGAGGCTTCTTTAATTATGATTGCCGATACAAGCAAACATGCGAGCCCCAGGAAGTGTTGAGTCAAAGCGTCCGCTTTCCGATTGCTTATATTCGTGGTGACCATCGTCGAAATTGATGGTTCAACCGTCATTACATACCATGAATAACAATTTTTAGGTCGGCTTTTGCTGGTACTCACATGCAACCGCAAACAACCTACTTGCATTTGTCCACCTAGTGTCAGTCGATTGGCGTTCACCCCTTCCTTCTCAGTATCCCGCTTACGATTGCCACCTCCCTCGCATTCATGCTGCCGGCTTCCACACCCCCGAACGCGATCATCTTCTCTAAAGGGCGCGTACCCCTGCTCGAAATGGTAAGTGTTCTATCCTCTTGGTTTATTCTGATAGTTGAGTATACTCAGACCAAATAGACTTCGCATTTGAAAACTATTAAATACGTTGCATCTGCAACTTCAACTTAATATTTTTGCAAAATTCCCATTGAAAATTTCAGAAGATGAAATGGTGAACGTGCATTTGTTTTCAAAAATTCTCATCATGCCTTTACATGTATATGGTAATTAAGTAAACTATGCGGGTTGGTAGAAACAGTTTTCGGGGCAGGGGGGATGGGGGGAAAAGGAGGTCACCATCTGATCAGTGTTATGGGCTACGGTAGTCGGCCGAGGTGCTAAGCTATTGGCTGTTGTATTATCAACTTTTTGACCATGGCAACTACGGCGCCGCGACGAAGTTCTTTTGGGTGCACAGGACCGGTCGGTGTAGCCTGAAGGCGGCCGTTTCTGCCGACGCCAACGGAAGCTGTACAAGAAATGTTGAATAGCTTGAGGGCACCTTGTAGATAACTCGAAAATACTCTTTGGCATCCACGCGATGTTCTGAGTCTACCAGATGCGCTAGAATGGAACTGTTAACATACCTTAGTTGGCTCTTTCCTTACCATGTTGGAAAGTGTTCACGGACTCTTTTGGACAAACGGCGGCTCCTTCGACCAATATATCCATTTTATTTTTTCTACTAAACTGCATAGCTTATTTACTTAATTACCATATAAATGTAAAGGCCTGATGAGAATTATCGAAA